AGATTGTCCCTCCCAAGTCCAAATTCAGGTTCAGACTACAGCAATACAAAATAACTTGCTATACTTATCTTGTTTTCCTCAAGTTTATGTAACTATCAATAGCATATCTGGAATTCATTTTCTTTATTTAACAAAATACATCCATATTACTAAAATAAAAAACTGAAAATATGATCTGAAATGCCTACAGAAGAATATTTGCTGGTGATATAATCAAAAAAAACCAAAAAATCAATTCAGTTCTGTTCATCAGTCTGCAATCACTATCAAATCCCCATTTTATATGAAAAACACTCAATTTTCAAGGAAAAGCATCTGCACAGTACCAAGAAGTTTGCTGTGGCAAATTGAAGGAATGTGAAAATACAGTTCTCTTGCTTAGGACACGTATATGAATAAACATAGGCATTAGCATCAGCACTAACTTCCCACCAAACAACTTTATCTCATGGCAGGATTTTTATTTCTAAGTGCTTAATATAGAGAGAAAAACATTCCGGTTTTTGTTACTTACATGAGCCACTGTCTGCTGTAGAAGTTTACGAGCATGGATTCCTTGCCCCTGGCCCATGGAAACACAATATGTTTCTATCTTCAGTCTTTTTCCCAAAGCAATGATTGAGTCCGTAGGATCAGAGCCCACGGAAAGAAAGCATATGAGGGGAGTACGTGGATCTGACTCTTTCCCATGTTTTCTCCAAGTCCAAGATGACTCCCTATGCGTATTTCTTCCCCATAGTGTCAGTGATATATTTTCTTGCCTATATTAAAAAGGGTAAATTTAACTTGTGACCTAACCATTTTATACTGTTTTCTTCCCAGTGTAAATATTACCAAAAGGTCAACTGAAGACCAAAGAAATTTAAAAATTTATATCAAAAATATAAATATACAACAAGTTTATTTTTACATGTCAACACATCATACTGTCTTTGAAGGTATTATTTTTGTATAGCCTTATACAACCAGTGAATTTTTTAAAAATAATTATTATATTACATATATCTGTATGTATTTTTATATATAACCATAATTAGAGTATAATAAAAAATAACAACTTCTCTAAAACTTTAGAAAAATTTTACTGATTTAAGGATATCTCCATTAGATAGTGTAACTCTTAGCCTCAGAATCTAGAAAAATAAGAGAAAAATACTAAAGATGGGCTTCAAAGCTTGCAGGCCTTTCTCACTCTGCAGTAAAATAAGCAAAGAATTAACAGTAGTAATGATTAAAATAACTATCACTAAGTAGACAATCCAGGGGAATAGGTGAAAACCAACTCTTCTCCCCTCTTTATTTATCTTTAAAAATTCTAGATTGTTGTTCTTTTTCTCAAAGAAATAGAAAAGGCTCTTTCAAACAGTCTGAGATGATCTTTCTTACACTCTTTCCCCCCCACACAGCTCTTGTCTTAGATAAATCTTCCCCTTAACACCTCTCGGAGACAAAAGACATTCAGCATATAACATTTGATAAACTATCAGTTTTCATAAAACCATGGAAAGATGAAAGTTTACCTTGCCCCCATTAACAGTAAGGAGGAACTAATCTTGTGTGATCTGTTTCAGACACATAGCAGACATCATATTCATCGTACAGTACTGCTTAATCTATTGACTGCAGTTACACCAGTAACTGGTGAGATTTTCTCTGAATCCAATCACAATGTCTAAAGATATGCATCAATAAAATTAACACCACACTTCAAGTGATGCATTCTAATTTCAGTAAATCATCATTAATTGTCCTGAATTGTCAGTAATGTTATAAATTTTTGTTCTGGAGAAGAACATAAAGTTTAAAAATAAGTTCCTAGAAAATTATTTTTCTTTTAAAAAGGTCTATTTAATAAACTTCAGTTCTGTAATTTTTAAATAGATGTGTTTAAATTGAGAAATTTGAGCAGACTTTATTAAAGATTTTTCCAAAGTGATTCTAATTCTTCCATGCAAGAAATAGTTTCTCAGTGAAATTATTTTCAATTTTACCTCATCCAGTCAAGTTCATTAAAATATTTGACTTCAGTTTAACACAGTGACACTTCTAGAGTTCTAGTGAGTAAGCAAGGATACTCAAAAGTATCTTATGAATTAATAAAGCAGATCTGGATAAACACATATGATTCCAGCAAAAATCACCACAGTGGGTAATATTTGTTCAATACATTGGAATATTTTTTTATCACTGCCCTTGTAACAAATGCATAAATAGTCTGAAAAGAATTTCAGAAAATACAACATAAAGGTCCATTACAAAATGGACCGTTAGCATTATATAAGATAGTACAAACCTGCAATCTGAAAACTTTTACTGTAGTGATACCTAAATAGACCATGTAGGCTATAAAAATATACCTGAGCTATCGTCCTGTCAGGACACCAAGATCTGATAAGAAGAAGATGTCTGAAGCAGTCCAGAGATTGACCATAGCCACTAGGAGCCGATTCTTCTTCGGGATTCTTACTATCAAACCAGATTTTCCACTGTTTCTCTTCTCTGGAAATCTGCAATTATACCACCAAAGAAGCAAATATTACTAAACAGACAAGTCATATTTGCACTGCCACTAGGTCGCAAACTTTTAATGAGAGTCAGAGATGTGAAATTCACACCCAGGCATTTGTTTAGAGTCATTCTTCCACAGATTTAAAAAGGCTAATAAAAATTATAGGATAAAATTTCAGATTATAAGTATGCTATTGTAGAATACACAACCCTGGAGTATTCATATTCTGAAAACAGGAGCTATTAATCAGTATGTTATATTCTGATATAATATAGCATAGCTATGTCAGAATATGGATAGCTAGGCACAGATACAGCTTTGAGAACAGCAAGTACATAATTGCTCTCCACATGAATGTACCTTCTCCCTAACTTTTACTCCATGTAACCAGAGTAATATTGGAACAAGCGTCATAAAACATAGTGTAAGAAAGCACAACAGGGATGCAAGATAATGTAATAACCAGAATAAAAATAAATTTGCAATATTTTAATTGGATAATTGTATTGGGATAATCCCAATCTGAAAATATTACCATTTTAGAAAGTGTGAACACTCTACACTCTTCTTATTTTCTTGGGCGTGGTTGAGATTTTATATCAACATATGTTGCTAAGCAGTCAGGGCCATAGCTGCGGCCATCTGCTGTCAGTTTTGCTTCTTTTCCATTAAATAAACCGTTTTCCACCACATGGCTGGATTGCTACCAGACAATTACTTGTTAGACAAGAGATCAACTCTCAAAAGCTCTTACGTACTTGATCAAGAATATCTGAAAACTGTTCAAGCTTACTGAGCTCCACCAAGTTCAACCAAGTCATATCCAGAATCCACTTAGCTGGCTTAGGAGGACAAGCTTTAAGGTCTAGGGAAGCACCACCTACAAGAAATTGAAATTAGTTATTAGCACTGTTGGAGAGACAAAGAAAAATAAACAAAATAAGAAGGAAAAAAACAAATACAATAATCCATTTTTTAAATCATTATGTTTCTGAAGTTTTCTACCTTACAAAACCATGCCATATTTGATTAAGCTGAGTCTGCAATTTGGTTAATTTATAGTGTTTTTTTAATATTATGTAACTTAGTCAGAAGCATTAGCCAATTTACATTTTGAGGCTTTACTGGCTTTTTGTGCAATGTGCCTGGAAATAAAGGCTTTTTGGGAAAAGCTATTCTGAAGATTCAACATAGAAAAAATTACACATATAATCCATTAATAAATACTGCCTGGAAAACTAAGTCTCTTGAAAAGGTAATATAAAATGGATCCAAACTTTCAAGTGAACTCAGTGCTTGTATGCAGTTGAGGCCAAAGCTATGACCTTGTCTCATGCAGCTGAGGCTCCAATGTTCTTTTAAAATGTTAGCATCATTTTCTGCTGCTATTTGCTGCAGTTACTATAATAAGTTTAGAACAATAACAATTTTTCTAAGCTAAACACATACCTGATGGTATTTGAGCAGCAGACAACAATATTCCTTTCAAATTCTCATGATTAAAAAGATATATTCATCAATATTCAGTGTGCTGCTATAAATTAGAGCTGCCATACAATGTTGTCTGTCACCAGATCAGAATGATAAACATGTATTCTTCCAATTGACTGATTTCTCATGCGCAAAAGGAAGGAGCATGCTGGCTAGGAGATACAAATACATAAATTTTCTAAAATAATAATGTGCTCTCCTTATAATTTATTCACAGTTTTCACCTTTAATAAGTGTCAGAAATTCTTCATGTTTCACTCTGTTTCTTTGTATATCAATCTTCAAAGTAAGAAGTAATGTGAAAAGAAATTTATGCTCCTCATGGAGCCCTCAGGCAGTATGTTTGAATACTTCATATGTCCTATATTCAATAATATTGGTAACCCTCTTGCTGGTTATAGGGCTCTTGGTAGACCTGTTACAAGAAAGATCTGCAGTTGAAATTTGATTTTCTTAGGATTTATAGAAAGGGAATAGTGTGCAAAAAAGAAAAAGCCATAGTTCAGTATTTTCAAAACATGAAAAATAATAACTCACAAACAGAATATCAGACAGCAAGCTGGCAACAACTTTCAGACTGAGGGAACAACAACAAAAACTCCTTTCTAATCAAGTCTTTTTGTCCAGCTGAAAATCAATGCAGTATAATGGTATTTAATTATCTAATGACAAATTTTGAGGGACTGTAAGTACATTAGAAGGGTCTTTGCCTTGTTAACTTACAAATTTTTATGGGTATTTAAGCTGACAATTCTTGATCAAGATTGTAAGAAGCAAGAGTCTTCTTTCTGATATTAGTTTATAATAAATCTTTATTGTACTACAGCCACCGCCAGGAATGGGTAAATACAAATTATACTTACTGTTAGCTAAATTACCTGGCTAAGGAGCAGTCAAAAAGCCCCAAAAACTGTCAAAGTGATGTCTGATACATGACATTGACCATGCTCATCTCAGTGATAAGGAAGTACAAGATGCTACCTTGTGTTGCAACTGAAGAGCAGGAAAGAAAAATTTGTTCAAAGTAGAAACGTAGAGCACAAAACTTTAACTCTCCAAAACACATACAGTGATCTTCACACTAATGATAACTGAAGATCCTTGAGTTTCTCGATTCTTTACTGCCAGAAAAATAATAAAATCATTCATTTAATCCTCATGTATATATCAGGGGAAAAAATTCTTTTCTGTAATTAATGCAAACTATGTAAAGTCCAGTTTTCAAATACGAGCATATCTGGAGATCTGCAATATTCAGATCAGCAGCAGAACACGTAAAAATTATGGCTGTTTAAAATACTGTTTAAGTATCCAAACAAATTTCTTTTTATAAACTTTTACAAGATTCATATAGAAGAAATAGCTATATTGATTGAACTTACCCAGCACTGATTTAACTTCTTTTCGGGAATCATTCAGCTTTAAACACAAAGGTTTTACAATAGCTGTAATTTTTCTGGTACACTAACTGTATCATCTTACACATTTCGTAGAATACAGACAATTACAGAGAGCTATTTTTCCCTGTTTTCCCTGGTTTTTCCACATTTTTTCATCTGTCAGTTAAAAGTCATGAAATTTGTTGACTATAACAACCAAAGGATAAATGGTGAAGCATTCATCAGAACAGATATAGAGAGTACTTAATGTTATACAACCTCTGTAAAAGAATGTCAGCATGTTGAACTCAAACATATACTTACCTAAACACCCTAATGATGTGCTTATTTATAGAGCAATGGGAAGTCTACAAAGAGAACAATTCACTCAATTTTATAAATTCCACATGAGGCATAACATTGACTATTTTCTCTGTTACAGCTCCATATGACATCTCCTGGATACATTTTACTTACAGGAAAACACAGATCTCTCCCACCAATTTTTGGTCTTCCTGATCTCATCCTACCATTTCTCCTACTCTAAGTATTGGTGTTTTAAATATATGGTCTAGCTATTTGTCTTCTATGACTACCTTCACTCACCAGGTCTGTACTCTTCGTAGGCTGAATTGATCTGCACTTCAGTTTCAGCAGAAGCTTGCAGTTTCTGTGTTATTTCTTCAGCAGTCTTCTTAGTGTTACTCAATACAATTAGTAGAGTCTCATCATCTGCCAGAGAACTCTTAGTGCTCGTAAGTTGAAATAAAAGGTTATCTTCTAGGTTCTTCATTCTCCTTTTGTTCATAGTTACATCTTCAATAAGATCAGTTCTTTCTTTCTCTAATTCCTATTGGATTACATGGTAATATTTGGGAAACAGACGAGCAATCAAAAAGAAAAGAAAAAACCCAAATATTTAGCTTAAAAAATACTGATCCTGCTAAAACAGCATAGGTCAAAACTAGCTGAATTATTTTGGGGAAATAATTCCAGTGGTATTTCTGACATAATATCTATTGCCAGGATCTGAACCTGCTACATAAGTAGGCATTAACAAATAATTTCTAAAAATATTATGGAAGATGCTTGTATCATGCCCTAAAAGAATAACAAGTTCAGAATGGTTTGTCTTCTCTTTCTGTTTCAGAAAAGACAAATGCAAACACCATTCCAGACATAGGATTTTATTCCCCTACATGTAATCTTATCCTCATTTATGCCTTGCTTTACAATTGCCATATGGAAAACTTAGACTCGATGGCCATGCTTAGTCATCAAATCAAGCATCATATATTTCAAGAAGTGCCAATACTCCTCCATCAGACAGGGATAATTTCAGTCTCTCACTAAAATGCTTCATTAATCAAGAAATATGTAGAACTTGAGTTACATCACTAGAATTTTTTATTTTATACATTTAGTAATACAATCTGGGTGGTTTATGTACCTAGATTCTTTTCCAGTGCCCAAATATAGAAGATGAATAACTGTTAACCAAGAGTTTTACATTAAAAAACAGCTATGTGAAATCCCTAGAAAAATATTTTTCAACTATAACAATCTGTTCTGTTCATTCTTAAAATTAACCTTTAAAAACTTCATATAAATTAGTCCATCAGAGATAAAAATCCTCTACTGAAATATAACTAAATGTTTCAGTACAGTGAAGTAAAAAGAAAGAAAAGAGAGAGGACGGGTTAAGAGTTTTTCATAGGAGAAGGTCAATATGAACCTTATGAATGAACAGTAAGTGAGCCAGTTGGTAAAAATATTTGCTGTCTAGATAAATACTTCACCAAATTTACAAAGGTCTGGTGAATAATTTTAACAATGTCTCTCTGAACTTGGAAGTTCCGTGTTCACTCCATCATTACCAAGTCCATTTCCATGTTGTTTACCGGCTGCTAATATTCCAAAGGAATAAGGACAGCACTAAGAAACACATAACCTCTCATATAGCACTAGAGACATTATGGACCTGAGCCCTTAGCAAGGCTTAAGGAAAGGTTTTACTCCCCCCATTTGAGTAGTCTTTCTTCATGCAGCTTTGAAAAACTATTACAACATTTGAATTGTTGTTTTTTTTTTTTTTTAATTCTTTTCCACATTCTAAACTTTTGGTCTTCTTAACTTACATTCTCCTCCTACATTCCTAATATAAACATTCATTTATTTTAAAGAATGCTCCTTTACCTTAAAAAGGAAATTCAGAAAAATTATCTTTTATTATCAGATTTAGAGTTTTTTCCTTGGCGTATTGAAACATCATAATCATCACCAGGTAGAAAATATCTAGTGGGACAATAATTTTAGAATAATGCAAATACAACATAACTTAGAGGATGTGCTTACTTATTCAAAAGATCTGACAAAAAACTGATGAAAATAGACGATAAAACTACAGTTATCTGCATTTCAGTCAACTGCTGCTTCATGGAACTGAAGAAAAGCAGGTAACAGTTTCATGAAACATTCTTTTCATGCAAGCTTGATGAAGTGAGAACTTCTAAATTGCATTAAAAGGCAGTTATCATCCAATTAAATATAATAATTAACATACTGCGCCAAATTAAACTTCATGTTTTGCTGATTCAGTTCAAAAATTTAAACATACCTTAGAATTCAATGCTTCATAAAAACAGAAAGAAATTCTCCTCACAAGAGCCTGGGAAACAAGGTGGAGACAGTTCACCAAGCTAAAGTGAAGTAACCCTAGATGAAAACCTTACTAAAAAGCTCTTAAGCTCATCTATTAAGCTCTTAAAATGCTTTTTGCAGATGAAAAAGTGTCAACAGTTGAAAGCTTTCTTCATAGCTTCAAAAATTTCCAGTCATAACACCAAGAATGCAGAAAAAATAAACCAAGTTATCATGTACATAAATTCAAGGAACTGGCACCAAAGAGACTATTTCAGATCCTGTTTTATGGAGTTCATTTCACAAGCAGACGACATTTTGCCAACTGTACCAAAGAATGCTATTTATTGTTAATATTCATAAAATATGAAAGCTGCTACATAGCTTATATCATCCTCTCACAAAATAATTCACAAGTAAAAGAATTTGCATCAACTGTTCCTTACAAAACTCAAGCCTTTTTGCAGCAAAAATCTTGATATATGAATGTGAAAATTCAAAAAAACCATAAAGTTATTGCATGTTATAACTCCACTACTAATCTGACTTACCTATGACACTAAAAAACAAGCTTTTTGTCAAATTACATAACAGCCAATGTATCAAAATAATGATATCATTTAAATATCATAAGCTATAATACCTTCAGACATATATCAAATCTCTCAAATCCTATTACTCCAGGAAATAAAGGAGAATCAAATTTATACAGATCTACCAGCTGTATGCTTATCCTTATGCTTCACTTGTATCTTGCAATTGGCTTACATTCTGGTGGAAAAGAAGAAATCAATACTAGTGTTCCTATCAGTAAACAATTAATTCTGTGAGATATATGTGACAAAGATTCTTTTAATAGACATAGCAGACAACAGAGAGCCAGACTTTGCAGTAATTTTAAATACCGTGCTCCTTTTCCTTGCTGGAAAAGGAAGGAAAGAAATTCATTCTAAGACCACAACCATATAAAAGATGGTAGAATAGGAAGAATGACAGAAATGTGCATCAAAATCTTGAAGAACTCTGATTTCAAATAAATAATCTCTTCTCTTTCTGGGACAGAAGTTCCGCACATATATTGTAACACTGGATATCACCAAGCAGTCATACTGCTCAAATCATTTGGCAAACTTTCTCACAGTAAAATAGTTCCACCACTCTCCTACCAAAGGCTATAAAAGGTAGTAAGAATCCAGACACCAAAGAGGGAAACCCCCAAATTCCCAAAGATGCATCATTAGACATCATAGGAAAGTGTTTGGATGTGATGTATTCAAATTGACTTCTCAGGAAACCTT